ATGTGACTCATCTGTCATAAGTAATTTTCATATCCTCTACCTTCTATTTTGGTGTGTGACTAGACAAAGGCTGTAGTTATGTAAAAGTATTTGTGTATTTTGTATAATGGAGGATAGGAATCACAGGTACTTTAAGTAAAAAAGAGAACAACGTCAGAAGAAAAGAGTGAATTATAAATGAAAGCAACTTATATATATTGTAATCAAATGTAATAAAGACTTTAAAACATGCTATTTCAATTTACTATTTCTTAGTGTTAAATATCACAGCTGTCATCTCTGGAACACTGGAAAAGGAAATAACAAATGCAAAAAAATTAAAGTAGAGTTTATGGACTGGCTTATCCAAAGTGAGTCCCAATTTTGATACTGAAACATTTACTGACACTAATTTGATACTGAAACATTTAGGACACTCATTATGCTTGGAGAGCTGGAATTTGAAATCGCAGATGTCAGTTCCAGGATGTTAATGTTTTCTGGTACAGTTTAGGAAATCCTATGTAGCATGCTACTTTTAGAAGATGTAAATACATCCCCTGTGACTTTTCACCACATCAGCCTTCTATCCCACAGTAGCACTTAAAAATTCACTAGAAAGCAGCACAATCAATCAGTACAGGAGTGATTTTGCTATGGAGGCATTTCCAGCAGTTGACCAGATTCTTCTTTTCTCTCTCAAACACTAGACTGAAATATTTTACTAAGTGGATCCAGTTCAAAGCAAACCTCATTCCATGAAAGTCATTTGCATTTGGGCTGAATATCGAATCAGCAGGACTTAAGCATATGCCTAAAATAGAAGTTATATTTATGTGACTGGTTAAATTAACCAGGGGTCATGCTGTTTCTGTGCTAAGAGAGAAAATACAGTGATTTTCTGCCTTTCTGCTTTTGTATTTCTGCACTTGAATACAAAATGTTGTTTTCCACACCCAGTTAATATCTGCAGTCAGGAAAGTGGAAGGCAGAGGAGAGTGTGTGCTATTTGAAAGTAAGTAGTACACAGAAAGCAAATTCTCTCCTTTCAGCTACAGCTTTGCACAAAGTAATTCTTAAAAAGAGAGCAATGAAATGAGACTCTACCATTCAGGAAATTCAATATTTAAATGCTCTCTAAGAAATAGTTTCTCTCATCCTCCTCTCTTTCATATTCCTCCGTCTCTTCCTTGTCCAAGTAGCCTTCTTGAAAGTTATTTTCTCCATAACAAAAAAGACTGCCTTGTGTTGCTTCATGTTGCTCAACATCATGGCTTGTACTTGGAACTTCTCCAAATAGCCCATATATATACATATATATATATAATAGGGACCCCTGGTGGCCTAGTGGTTAGCATGCAGGACTCTCACTGCTGCGACCCAGGTTCGATTCCTCGGTCCCCCGGGCAGATGGAGCTCGTTAGCCCTGTGAGGCCATCCATCTATGAGAAGGTCACTCTAAACAAACCTACGTCCTGAGGACCTCACTGCCATTGTCCAAGCTTGCTTGGCCCCGGCAGATGAACCTTAGGATTAAAGGGTTGGCTCAGTTCAGCGCAGGCTGTGTCTCACCTAAAAAATCCATTGCACAGGCTGGAAAGGTAAAAAGACCTTTCCCCAGATCTTCGTTCGCGAAGACTGGCCATTATATATTATATATATATATAATAATAACACAGGAAAGACAGGGATTGTATCAGTAATAAATCTTTCAAGAGATTATTTTTCTCTTGTTAAAAATAATTATTGCACCATTATAGGTTTTCGGTTCTGAAAGCAGTGAAGCGGAAGAATGCACATGAAGTGATTGGTCTCAGGACATAAAGAGCTGCATAATAATAATATTAGATAAATTTTAAAGAGAACATCTCAAAGTGGCCAGGAATTCCCCTCAGAAAAATCAGTGGGAGTCTGCTGAGTGATCTACTGGAGCCAGAATTTGTTTTTTTTTATTGGTTACACTTGTAGCAACACCAAACTCTCAGCCAAGGGAATGCTTGGAGCACACAAGGTAGGCAGGGATAGCAGTCACAGTGTGGGATAGGGAAAGGTATGTGAAAAAGGTAGGGACTGAATGGACTCTGTATGGGGTGGTTTTGGGGGGACAGGGCACTTTTTCTGTTTCTAAAGTTGTTTCTCCTCCTTGTAACCCCTTCTTTTCCTTCCTTTCCCTCCTCCTTCTAGTGAGGACACCCAGAGACCTTCCCTTCACTTCCACTATCTCCATCATCACCATCTACACATTTTTCTGCTCTTTCTTGATTGTCAAGGAGGGATCATACTGGTTTGGAGGGACAGGAACTAGGGCAGGACCAGGACAGAAAGGCAGAATCCTGCTGCTTCTGGAGGTAGAAAGGGTAGATGTGATTGCTGCTGCTGTACTGGGACCCTCTGGTACACACTGGCACTCCTTTACCCTCTCTCTAATCCTGCAAAGGCAGTAACAGCAGCATGGATGGTACAAACAGGAGGCAGGAATGAGCTGTTTGGTTGAAATGCCTAATCCTTCTCTCCTCAGTCACAGGCAAAGTAGCTTGCCATCCCCTTCAGTCTGGCAGCTCGCCATTTTGCTAACTATTCAAAGCTACTTCTGACTTTGTGACTTCCCCTCATTCACACAAGAAGCTGAGCCAAAGCCCCGAACCTAAATATCTGCAAGTTGGAGAGAAGCTTGTATCCTGAGCTGAACTGTGGAGCACAGAGGCACCTCTAAAATGCTGATAGGGTGTAGATGGGTTCTGAATTACTGACTCATTGTTTGAAGGAGAAGGCCTGTTTGGCAGGATAAACAATGAAAAGCTACTCATCAAAAAACTAGGAAGCAAATGGCAATGAAGTTGTGCATAATGCATTGGCAATTTCTACTCTCCGGGCTTTAGAGTCCTCTCAGAAAGGTGCCAAATACACATTTCTTTGTACAACTCCAATAAATTGCAAAAAATCCACAGCACTAGAACATTACCTCCTATTGGTTTCTGAAGTGGTCACACATCTGCTAAACTGCACCACAAACTGAACAGGGGTCTGCTTGCAAGAGATGGAAGGAGTCAGGAGAAAATCATCTCGGATTATCTACCGAAACAAAGGTGATTTGAAGGCCAGTTCTAGATCTGGTATTGCCAGAGAACTGAGCCAGCAATCATAAAGGGATTTTTTAAAATAAATTTGACACCAGCGGCCAGAAGGCTTTGTCATCATTAATCTAATCCACAATCTAAACCAAAGAGCCTGGAAAGCAGCCAGTTGCTTTCTGAAAGGGCTTTGGGCTTTGTGAGGAAGGCACCCACTTGGCTGCTCATGTGGCAGCTCTCGGAGCCCGTGCTGGGACTAGGTGGGCAGCTGGAGCCACCTGAAAGGGAGAAACAGATTCCAGTCAGAGACCTGAAGCTCAAGGGCTGGGTTGCAACAATGTACTCTGGAGGTACCTGGGTAGATGTTCGGAGATGTCCTTTCTGGCAGAAAATGCTACACTGTCTAGAAAATTCAAGCTTCTTTTGTGAAAATGTACTGTTTTTACAATAATTTAATTATTTTTTTGTCAGATCTGAAAGCGAGAGACCTTACAATAGCCCAGGTGTGGCATTCAGATGAAACAGGGTAGTGGACATGTTTCAAATGGGCTTGAATAAATCTGAGGTAAAACAATCAAGCTACCTGTAGGTTTCCCTTGTACACCTTCCTCTCCAAATGCTTCCACCCATTGAGATTTGCACAGTCTCATGGTGGCCAGGCCACCCAGGTCACAGCTGCCTGGGGCCCACTGAGTTGTGGGGTACAATGGCACTGCTGAAGCTCAGCTGTACAGAGCTTAGGAGCCACTGCTCTTGAGTTTTAGTTTTGCCCTGGCCAATAAAATGCTAAAAGTAAATGGAGAGATACCTTTGGGTGTGTTTGGCTCTTTGGAGTTACTCTGACTGCTGGGAAACCAATGTCTCTGGAGAGTGAAAATACAGGCCCAAGGAAGACCTTGGGCCAAATATCTCAATTTTCAACCACAAAGCAAATCAGAACATGAAAAGCATCACTCTGCCTATCAAAGAGCTGGTTTTCTAGTAGCCCATGGCTTCAAGTGGGATGGATGCTGAGCAGCAAGTGGAATGTGTGGTCAGCAGCTGAGGACAGGGGCTGTGCAGAGAGGCACAGAGGCCTCCCAAACTCTGATCCAGCAAAGCACCGAAGCACGTGCTCACTCCAGCTGGAGCACAGTTCTCCAGAATTCACCATCCAGGCCTGAACTCTAAATATCTCAATGGCAGCTGAACCCACCAAATCACAGAGACTCTTCTCAGTCATGTCACTGGGAATTGGGTCAGGCGAGGCACACAAGACTTGGTAGCAGCTGCCTGAGAACAATTAGCCTATAAAAGAGATATGCATATTTTATATTTATATAGGACATTAGCATTTTCTGTGACTCCCCCTGTTAGTATTCTCACATTATGAGTGCAGTAATGCTTGGGTCCTTTGGTAGTTCCAAGTACATCATATTAATCTAAGTCTCTTGGAAACTAATGACTTTATTTGTGCATTGCATGAAAGGGTTTGTATGTGCATTTTCAGGGGCGCAACACACGTGAAAAAATATGAGATTAGTTCCTCATCTGTACTTCAAACCGATAATTTTATACCTTGTAATCTGAAAAAGTTATGCAGTGTCTCTGCAGAAGGGTGGAAACAAGGCTCAAGGCACTTTTGAAATCCAAACCCATATTTTGATTTACAGCACAATTATCACAGGATTGCCAACAAAACCACCAAACACCAGGATTTTTAGCCCATATTCAAACTGCTACATCAGTTTTCACAAGCACCGAGTAACTAAAAAGGCTACTCTAAGTGAATGAGTTGCCAGGTTTTCATACTTCTGAACAGTAGACCTTGAATAAGTAGCCTGAATATAGAATTTAGACTATGTTAAACCACTATGTTTGAAAATCTTGGCCAATATTTCTTAATATTTCTGGGGAAAAAAAAAAGATAGTGTACTCATACATTTCTTATAAGCTTTCTTTTCCCCCTAGGGACCAACTTAAAATCAACAAAGTAACAACGTGCCTAACACAATCAGGAAATCTAGGTCTCTTTAAGTGAAAAGCAAACAACCCTGCCCTTCTTCTGCCCTTTCCCGAAACCTAAATGTAAGTATATTCAGCTTTGAAATCCTAAACAAATTACATGTAATGCCAAAAACAAAGTGCAAAGCCTTAAAACTGAAGTTGTCTTAAAGTTATCACTTACACAGGATTTCATGAGTTATTCAAGTGTTTGCTATACACTAGAGCTTTTGAATTTTGAGTGGAAAAGTATATGGTACATAAATTTTGGTGATCATCCTCAGCAGCATTTTTTTCCTAGATAAAGAAATCTACCCTTTCAGTCATTCTCCACTGTTTAATAGGAGGGAATATGTAATTTTGGCCTTTTGTGTTTATTTAAAGGATCTTGGTTTAAATGTATTTCTATGGTCAGAAAAGGGTAAGGACAGGTTTCATTAAAAAAGAAATGTCAAAAAACATTATATCCTGGAAACAGAGTGAACCATGCTATTGATGTGCTTTGGATATCCCAAATGTACACGTGTCCACTTCCATATGTATGCACATGTTAAAACAAACAGCAGTAATGTTCATTGGGAAATCCATACTTAATACAATGTTTAGTTTAGCTCAATAATGGGAAGAGTATGTTAAACATCATGTTGAGCCTTAATGGAAAAGTTTCTGACAACTAGACATTAGCTCATACTGCCCACAGTCATCTTATGCCTATGACTATTGTTTGTTATCAAGTGTGACTTTTGGAAGAAAAAATGCATTATTGCATAACAAGCTGCATTGCAGTAGTGTCCTGCACTCTGTTTTGGTTTCTAGATAGCTAATTAAAAGAATCCACATGTTAAGAATTAATCATGTAAATTCCTCAGACTTTCTGGACATCTTTTAAGGAGGATTAATGCCATATTCGATAGTGTTTCTCTCTTGCAGAGAAATCATACACAATTTGTCTGAAATGAAACCAGTAGAATCAGACAAACACGACTCCACAAACATGCAGCAATAGAGCATCAGCCCTGGCAGAGACCCCTCTCTGTGAACCCACTGGGGTTTACTGGGGTGGGTACCCACTGGGGAGCACTGAACTATGAACTCACTGGGTTCACAGGCACTGGGGTGGACTGGTGCAGTGCCAGGATTTTAGGATCTCTGTCCACATCCTCAGCTGGAGCTGTCCCTGGTAACCATTTCATCCAGCAGCAGCTGCTGTGACCTACCCTATATCGACTGCTAGAAAAGTCTAAAAAGAAAAAAACAAGGAAGAAAACAAAAGAGGAAAAAAATGCTCAAGGCTCCAGCCCACAAAATATTGACAGAGAACAAACCACTTCTCAGCTAGTATTTACATTCTCCCAGAGCATCCATAAAAAACGTTTTAGAAAGTTTTAGAGCCCGTCCACTTAAAAAAAAATCCATCCAAGAATGGCAGTAGACTTTGATAACTCAGCTGCAAAGTTTCTGTAGCAGTCAATGAAAAGAATGTAAAAGAACACTGCTCTTCTTACTAGTAATTTCTTCAAACCTTCTGATAAATATCTTCTGGCGTTATATAATAATACAGATCACTTTTTAAGAAGTATCACACGTTCAGTATTTTAGAGTCCTTTACCTACGAGAGGTGAAACAGAAGTATGAGCTATTAAATACAGTTGCTGGACAGAAAAAAGCAGCAGTTAAGCTAAGCATTACAAATTAGCACCTACTACTTCTCGTGCATGGCAAAATTGCTTTGAGAGAAACAAACACTATCCTCATCAATTCACAGATATCAAGGAACAGAGAATTAAGGAGGAAAAAAAACTTTAAAAAAGGTTTGAAAGATCTGGAAAATATTGTTGTTTTTTTTTTTTTTGAAACCTATTCCAGTGAATGGAGAAGAATTTCAGCAAAACACTCAGATCTGGATAGAACTAACCCTCAAATTAAAAGGAAACGAAGCCCTTTATCTATAGTAAAAATACAGAAAATTTTCAGACTTGAGCATCAACTGGCAGATAGACTTGAAAGGCATTTGGGTTGAGTAGAAGTCCTGAGCTGCTACCAAAATCAACAGTCTAATTGTCTCAGCTGAAACTGGGGCTTAGCTGTTGGGTTTCCTGTAACTGAATCTTGCCACAAACAGCTCTGCTAAGTTTTTCCTCTAATAAAATAAAATACAGCAAAATTAAAATAAATACAAGAGACAATGAAGTCTCCAATATAAGAGACATAGTCCCCAATATAAGGAGGGGAGAAACACCAGAAAAAAAGTCATGAAGATATCAAAGTAGTTCTTGTCAATTCTAAACGGTTGATATGACAGTTCTTTAAAAATAAACAATCAAACATCTGAAAGTAATTGCTAGACTAAGGGATTTATTTTATTTAGGCAATAAGGTATTTTAAAAATGTACTCAGAATGTCTAGCTTGCTTCAAATTGCTTTGGTTTTCTACACAGTGTCATGGTAGTCACTACCCACCCAAATGTGGTATTTTAATAATATTTTTAAATTGAAAAACAACAACTGAAATGAAGAAAGCAAAACTATTCAGAAAGGTTATCAGAATGCACACTTTAACTTCAGACACTTTCTAATCTGATCATGAAGCAGAAGGAAAAAAAAATATTGTGCTGAATGTAGAGGCACTGAGTCAGGTGATAAAGTTATACAATTTTGTGTGGATTTACTGAGGTCGTATCTCAAAATCCAAAGAAAACTTAAGTAACTAAAAGCAATGTTTCGATTTATATAGTCTGATATTCTGTCTATCCTTTTTCCTGTTGAACTGCCTTTTATGCCTTTTAGTGTATAAACTTCTTGAACGTAGTAATCTCTTGTGTCCTCAGTTTTCTCCTCATTTTCTCATGCTTTATTTTCCTCCATTCAATCCCTGTTTATCTGATAATAAGGATTAGTTTACTGGTCTGAATTTTCCCTGTCTCACTTGGGGAGCTGGAAGTACTGGATGATTTTTAGTGGAACCTAAACCTCAAATTACTTGAGTGTTTATGGAAATGTCACCTTACATTTCCAGGACCATTTATTTTAAATAGGAGTCAGTTGCTAGATCCTTTAGTCACTCGTGAAAACCTAGCTTCAGATTCCTCTCAGCAGCTTTGGATGGGAGGAAATTAAAGGAGAATTACAGAAGAAAAATCCTTTCCAAACATAGCAGTGTTATTCAATAGCTTAGAAATTTACTTCTCTTTTCCTGTTGGTGAATGTGGTTTCTTTAACTAATCCAAGCATTATTGTGAATAAACCCAATGGTTGCTTTTGTCTGTGTTTTGAAGAAGAGGGGCTTGTTTAGGGCTTTAGTAGCGATAATTGACACATAAAGCTCTAGTACAGAAGAACACATAAAAAGAACAAGATGAACTTGCCTCCACAAATCATTAGAATTGGGGATATTCTATGCATGCCTCCTGCTTGCTGTTAGTAACCATGATGACAAGTTTATGATCCCTGGCTATGCAAAACAGAGACCTAAGGAACCTGCTGCTTGTAAAATTCTCTTTTTCCCTAGTCCCCTACTTCCTAGACAACCTCATGTGAAAAGAGACTTCAAGCCAGTAAGCAGCAGATTTTTATGTTCATAACAGGAAATTCATGGAAGACTGGAGCAATGTGCCTCTCTGATTTAGGAAAAAGTTGTACCAAACAGTAAGTCTTTTTATGCGTTTTGCGTTACACACAAATCCTCCTGTTTTATGCTGAAGCATATGGTTTATTAACAGGTAGCTCATTAACAGCAACACATAGAGCATATAGCTGTTATCATCACTTCACAGGTATTTTCCACACATTTCCCATAGCTTTCACATTCAGGGAAAAGTAGCGTGAAGTGAAAAATCTTCTTTCAAAAGCCTCATTGGCATGATTTATCCATGTAATGATTCCTTGTGCACTCATTCAGTTTCTTTTGGAAACACCAATGTATTTTCCATGCAAGAGTATCTCAGGAAATGTTGCATTTTAAGACAATTTTCTAGACTCTAAAGAGTTCAGACAGAACACTATTAATACCTTTGCCTTGTAAAGTTCAAGGAATGGTACTACAGTATGAAATGAAGTTTATGTAGTTGCTGGGTTTATTTAAGTACCTCGTTAAGGCTGTCCTTTTTAATTGCAAAAGTTATGCAAATAGTGACAAATAGTACAGTTCACGGTAGTCTTACAGGAACAATTTCACAGAATCACAGAATTGTTAAGGTTGAAAGGCATCTCTGAAGCTTATCTTGTCCAGCTCCCCTACTCAAGCAGGGACATCTAGACCAGTTGCCCAGGATCATGTCCAGATAGCTTTTTAATTATCTCCCAGGATGGAGACTCCCTAACCCATGTCAATGCTTAGTCACCCTCACTTTTCTACTTCCTCTACTCATTCTCACAATTTCTACTTCATACATCTGAAATTTCCCCTGTACTTGTACTCTGCAGCAGTCTGGCTCGTGATGTACAAGGGGTGGATGAATACTGAAGCACAATGCTGAAATCAGGGATATTTCATTTAGGAAGGTGATGCACTACTTTACTGAAAGCATTTTTGGACCATTTACTCGTCCGTCACCTGTGTATTCCTGATGTAAATGGGAGATGGTGTAAATGGAGTCAGCTGTGCAGAAGCATGGAGTCAGGACACAAGTTGGGAATGTGAGCCATGCCCACTGATGGCAAAGACTTTATGTAGAATATTTCCTTTGGATGCAAACAGCATATTTCATGCTACTTTGCTGGCATTACAGCTACTTTTAAGCAATCCACAGAACGGAGACTTAGTATTTTGAAACTGCAAAAGGTCTGGAATGTGCTCAGGTCCCCCCTCTTGTGCAGTGTTTGTAAAGCTGTCCCTTGATACATAACAAACTAAAAGGCAAAGAAAAGGCAACAGCATGAGCCTGTGCTGACAGTGTAAATAGAAATCTGAGTTTAGCGGACAAAGTTCACAGTTTGCAGAGAAAGGTCATAAGGATTTCAAGCATTTTTGGTATTTTGTCTCTGCTGCCTGCACAATATCAAGCAAATAAAAAACCCCGGATAGACAGCTTCCAATTCTGTATACTTGGCATCCCTGCTCAGCCTGGAGGAACACGGGAAGCTCT